CCCCAAAACCCCAAAACCCCAAAACCCCTTATAGCCTTAAAATGATATTTTATGATTAGCTTAAAATTCATCTACTTTTTTTATTAAAATATAACTACATTTAAACATAAAGTCTTATTGTAAAAGCGATCAAAATCAAATATATTCCTTAAGGCTCTTAATGTTTTAGTTATTTAAGAGAGTTTTTAGTTCCAGATATCTTCACCTTTCCAGCAAGGAGAGAAGTGCTATGAGTTACTGCTTGAGTTATAAATACAATAAGACAATGCCAGGGGTGTTGACAGAAATGTGAAGCACCTCGAATTATTTTATGGTCAAAGACATAATTTATATATAAATAGAGATTGACCATGGGATAGATACTACAGAAGAGCATTTACGACATAAATTAAGTAATAAAAAAATTATATTTTTACTGATTACAGTTTTAAGGAATATTTCAATAACTTCACTTTTAAGTACCACAAATCCAAATAGAAAAGTAGATTTACAATGTTTTCATGAAACTGCTTCAATCTTTGTTAAAATGCTTGTTTATGTAATCGAAACTGCTTAGAGTAATGGCGTTTACAGGGTATGCTCTAATAAGTGTTGGGCTTAGACCCTTGAAGAAGTATTTGTAGCCATGAAGCCTATATTGATTTTTAAATACATAGCCCATTTTCGGTGCTACTTTTTCTCTGCTAAGCTAAATATGTGTCTTGACCACATCGAATGGAAATAACACTAGCCAACTTAACACTCCTGCTAAGCCGCCTGCATTAATGTTAATTAGCCAATCATTTCCTGCTCTATCATAATCTGTATTGGGATATAGGATGTCTCTCGTTTTCTTGGAAAATGCTTTCAAAAATTCATATAAGTAGAAATACACTCCCCATCCTGGCACATCTCTTAAACAATTAACCCAGAATCCTCTGTATAGAGCTGAAACACCCTCATTTTTAACTATAATTGGCAAGAGTTATCTCATAGTCATGTATTAATCCTTCATTATCTAGGCTCTACACTTAAGTATTTCCACTGGAACATAGAACACCATGCCTAGTCTATATAAACGAAAATCAAATATCAATCACTTACGCTCCTGATACACTTCCTGATATCAAAGACTTATTGGCTTCGTCTAATCCAAATACGCTTAGTTTCCTTTTGATCAGCTCGTTTATTGTGAAAATTCTATGATAGTTTAGTATTATGGCAATAATTACAATGAACAATATGGAACAGCAGCTGATAATGGGGAAGCAACACCTTTAAACAAGCCTTTAAACTAAATGCATGAATCAATTTTAATATTTACTCCTTCATTTTTTAGCATCTCTTTAAATACCTTTACAAAGCTTAATTACTAGGTTGACATCTGAACTCTGACCTATATTAAAGTAATTTTATAAATGTTTAGAGTCTATACTTTGACTGTGTCTAAGGGATGCCCGATTAATATACCTATCATATTTGAAAATGAACTTGCAAAGACTGATTTGAGGAAAAAGTTAAACGTAATAGGCTTATGATGAATGTTCTAATCATAACTAAGTGAAACTAAAATAAGTTAATATTGACTTAAAATTCTTACTTTCTCTTTGAGCTGATTGCAGTTCTTCCATATTTTCCCTATTTTATAATCCACAAATCAAATTTAATAGAATTAAAAGAAGTAGTCAATAACGATAACTTTTAAATTCTCTAGCCTAAGGGGTTTTGGGGTTTTGGGGTTTTGGGG